GCACGTGTGTTTCAATGTGTAACTAGTATACATGCTTGCATGTGTACACAGCTTTCAGCGGTGCACAACTCTTGGCAGAACATGGCTAAGCTGCTTTAGTTACCTGAAAGAGAAAGTATTTGGAAATGCAGATCCTTCATTCCATAAGCAGCACACATAAAAAGTATCTGTGAAGTTCTATATTAGAAACCAAACCTGACCAGAGGAGAGAATTGATTGTATATATTTTTATGCTCTATCCTCATTATTTATGGAGTTCTTTAAAACATTTCCCCGATACTATTTAAAATTTAACTTAATATAGGTGCTTATATTTTGGAATAAGGTTTATCTATTTCAATTCAAGTTAACAGTTGTTAAGTTTTAGGTAGGAACTTCTTTATCTTAGGCCTCGTGTCTTCACATGGAGGGAAATTCTTTCAAGTCCTGCCTTGGGTATCTGTCCACCCCAAGGAGGGAGTGGGGGTGTTTGTGTTAAAGAATCAGGCACAGATTACTAAGCCCTCTCTGGATTCCTCTTTCCAAATCTGTCTGACTGCAAAACAGCAGACACAAGAGCAAGCAAATCTACACAACAGTCTTCAGACAGAAGCTTCTTGTGGTTCAGCCTCTTGTTGAGCCATCAGCAAGCTTACGGCCTGAAGTCTAGTTCCTGAACTTGTTCACTGCATTTATGGTGATGACTAGATCTCCCACCTTGCAGTTCCTGGGTCGAGTTCACAACTGGACACAGACTTGGGAGAAGAAAATAGAGAGTGTTTTTTTAACTGCCCTCACATCTCCAAACTTAGCATTTACTAAGTAAAATAATGATAATAATAATGCTATTGCAACAGACAGCAAGGACAAATCAGATATGATCCCTGCCCTCCAGGAGAAAAATCTAGTAAAAGGGAAAAATACACACCTAAGTGAAATAGAGAGTATGCAATACTATGTGAATCCAGAAAAGAGCATCGGCAATTCCGCTTGGCAGAGAAAGGGAAGTGGGAGGGGCAGAGGGAGGGAGGTTAGGAGAAGTTTTACAGGAGACATGGCTATTTGACCCCCTTTTTGAAAAATGAGAATAACAACAAAAGGAAAAGGATATTTCAATTTCAATGCAAAGACAACTTCATACAAAAACTAACAGAATGATTAGGAGAGATTATGAGAAATTTAGGGGCAGGAATGACACTGGAAGTGGAGGAGGACTTTAGCATAACCAAGGGGAGGATCTGTTTTGAAGATTCTTGAAGGAGAACGGATAGGATTTACCATTTCATTCAGTGAGACAAAAGGGGCAGGAGAAGCATTTCCAGATTATGTGGATGGTTAGATGTCAAATTTGGCAAAGCACAGGGACAGGTCAGAAAACAAAGCACTTTGCTTTCAAAGGGTGTGAGGGGAGACAGTGAATTTGATGCCCGCAGGGTCTGTCAATCACTGAGGAATTTAGGCATTTTCAGGGGAAGGTCTGGCCTGACCAGCTACAGTGGACTGTGGTCCTCATAGGTATTAGTGTGGACACTTCTGATAGACAATGCATTTCAGAGATGGGATGGGTGAACAACAGAGGAGAGCTGAGAGGGAGACACGGGGAAAAGAAACCTGTAAAGGAGACTGACCTGACATGGAGGCACTAGGGAATTTGTAGAGGGTGCTTGAGAAAGGAAAGATTCTAGAGGCAGTGGTGACTGTAAAATGTTGTGAAATGCTGCTGGGCCAGCATAGCTCAAGGTAACCCATGGCAGGGTTTTAGCACAGCGGTGGGACTGCAGAACTCTCTGGGAGGCACAAAAACGATGTGGCAAGTACAGACTACTCTCTGATGGAGTTTAGCAAGGCTACGGCTTTTGTAAAAGGTCTAAGAAGAAGATAAAGCATCCAAGAAAAGGACTCATTCTCCAGCGGCTCTAAAAATCAGTGTTTCTGGATATGTAAGCGACACGCTGTTTGAAAATCTGGGAAAGGAAAGGCGAGGAGCAGACATGTAACTCACTCCTTTGAGATCAGGGACAAGGGAGAACTGATGACCTCAAGCTGACCTTGACACAGAGGAAGGAAAGTACAAGGACCTTGACCAGACTTCCTTGTGAACATGCAGTGGTATTTGCTAGAGAAAAGATGAAAGCCAGCCATTTCCATTGGATGTCTTCAGTTGGACAAAACCAGTCTTTCTGGTTATCTTCCATTGTAAATGAACCTCAAATTTCTTGACTTACGGGTCATGACTGGATGGGGCTAAGGGTAGTATGTGTTTTTTCTAGTTGTGCAATCCACAGAATACATACCAGAGGTGCTCAAACACAGAAATGACCTCCTTTGAAAACAGGGCTTCTGTTGGCTTATATGGAAATTTATCTCTTAACCCGGGCCAAACCATTCTTCTAAGGAAGACAAGGTCATTCTGAGGGTTTTAGGGTAGTTCAGGAGAAGAACATGCTAATTGTGCCTGCTGCTCCTATATCTTGGAATCATGATTGACGTGCGGCGGTGGGTGTTGACTCAGCTTTAACAATTTCACACTTTGTACTAACACAGAACTTCCTCTGCTCCCAAAGTTAGTAAGGAAACTTCAGAAAAGCCTCCTAAGTAGGTAGAACACCATAGAAATGGTCATCAAAATGGTTTAGTCAGCAAACTGCTTAACCTCAACAGGTGATAAAGCTGTAGAAACGTGGTACTATCTCAAGAAAATGAACTTACATGTCTAACAACTTTCCTCTAACACTGTGTCTACTACGTATGTGTCAGGCGTTAACCAGCTCTCTGCTCCATCACAAGAGCTACGTAATCTGGAAAACCCTGGAAGCCACCCCAGTGCCTTCACGTCCTATCTGTGGATGGACAAGTGCATCTTCCAAAAAGCACAAAGCCCCCGCTGCTGGCCCTGTTCTGTCCTGTCTCAAAGCTGTTCACAGGTCTGAGTGTGCATAAGCAGCACCTTCCACACCAAAATGCATCTATAATGTCTGCAACCTTCCTGATGAAAACCCTTCTCATTTTAGCTTCTTCTTGACAAGAAACTGGCCCCAATAAATTAAATATCATTAATAATACCAATTTTTGAATTCTTGTCCCTTTTTCATTTTAAGGGGAAATTTCTTTCTTTTTGTTAAATACATAGTGAACATAAGTTTCAAGCATATTTTATTTTCTTCTATCAAAATTAAATATCACGAGTGAGTGCCCTCAGACTTCACTATGACCTGTAAAATAACTGTGGTCAGATTATCTGCCTACAGGTTGGCCTATTCTAAGGGTATTTCTGAGAGAATAAATCCAGCAGCATATGGGTTTGTGAATTCTATAGCTTCAGCACAACAAGAGAACACATGCTAGACAGGATTCAACAAAAGAATAACATGTCACTGTCCAGTGCAGTGGTCACAGAGCACTGTGAAAAAAAGGAAAGCTGAATATCTCACTAGAGGTTTTTAGATTATATGTTAGAATGATAACAGCTCACATACATACTAAAGTATTAAAGTAATTCCACATCTTTAAGATGGCAAGCAGAAAATTTTAAATTATACTTATGACTCAAATCATACTTCTATTAGACAGAACTAATACAGATGATATTTAAGATGTTCGGGTGGTGTTCTGCCATCAGCAGGTTCCACTGATTCATTCTACCCTTGATTTAACACCAATTCAAAACATATAAGGAAATAATATAAAATATTTTTCTTGCTACTCTTATAATTGTTTGGGGAAGCATAATATAAAACAAATGCGAAGAGTGAAACAATTTTCAATTGTGCTTTTAGTGGAGCCTATAGTCATTTCAACTAAAATGTACAAATGTACTCTTTAATTATGTACAAATTTACTCTTACAGATGTAAAAAAAAATACAAGATATAAGTTAGATTCCATTGTTTTCTAACATAAATGTTGCCAATACAAAATAATGCAAAATTAAAAAGCAGATTTTTTTGAAATAATCTTATGAAGACACCGAAAATGAGTATGTCTACCTGAACCTATTATTCAATTCTAGAAATAAATGTTTCATAAATGCATAGAATCAGACTATAAAGATTGCTAAAGCAAAGTTTTAAATAGCCTCAAAAGAAGAGGAAAAGTGGGTTACATTAGCACAATGAAACACTTTTTTCAGGATTTGTGATGAGGTAGTATCTCCCGTGAATGACTTCTTATTGAAGAGAGATAACATTTATAACAAACACTATAAAATATAACCAAGTTTACTGGAATAGAAAATTCCACCAGAAAATTAGCTGCTCACATAGAAGACAGGTTAAAACGTGATCACTGAATACCTTTAAATTAAAATCAGACTTCAACTGACTAATTAAAAGTGTTAAGCAAAATTATGTATGTGTGTATAGGAGCCTGGTAGGCTACAGTCCATGGGGTCGCAAAGAGTCGGACATGACTGAGCGACTTCACTTTCTTTCTTTCACTTTATTTTTGTAAGCATCAGGAAATCTATGATAAACATACCACATTTTGTTGTCAAAACATAACTTAATAAAAACAGGATCTATATCAAAGAGAAAGTTGATTTAAAAGAGTGAATGTAGATGCACAAAGGAAGTACTCTATCTAAAGAAGATTCTTGTTTTGAGTTTATAGAAGATTGCTGTTGAACCTACAGGAACTATTTATCAGCAGATCTACTATGCGATTTTCTCCTTCAGATAACTCCCTGTCCCCTTAACCATATCAGCGTACTGAAGGCTCCCTGAGTAGACGTAAAGAAAACCACAGAAAGGCAACAAAAGGGAAAAGCAGCAGCCAGAAGCAGTTACAAATCACATCACGCCATTCGCAACAACACGCACGGAAATATGTGTATGTGTGCCCTGGGCTCCCCCACGTACACATATATCTCTGCATGGACTTGGACGGGAGGGAGGGGAGAGGCAGACAGGCAGCATGTGAACATGGATGAACAACCTGTGAGGCTCCGAGACGCGAAACACAGTGATGGGGAAAAAAAGTGACACTACGAAATGATAGGAGATTAAGAAAGTCTTTACTGTATACCTTTCTCGTTCTGGTGAATGCAAACTAGCATCTGGTCTCAAGCAGTTGGTACTAGCACTCCTCGCCCTGTCAAGGGAGGGCTGCAGGTCACTAGTGCCAGTGCATTGCATCCAGGGTGGAGGAAGAAGACAGAGAAAACAGAAAGAGGAAGACCAGTTAGAGAGGAAACCATCCAGTCCTACCCCTGTACACAAACTGCAGGGTCACTGCGCCGCGTTCATACGGGGTGAGCACCGACAGGATGGCCATGCACAATTTTGTTTAGAAAGTAACACTAAACAAATATTATGCTTGACTTGCTTCGCATAATTTTTAAAAAGGGTCTCAGACTGAAAAAAAAAAAAAAAAGACTAAATCACACCTACTCATGAAAAAACTGGATACGGAAAGCACTGAAACGCAATGCCTAACACTCCGTTACCAAGGACAGATGCCACACCAAAACAAAATGAAGGACAAGCAGAGGAGGAAAACCGTACAACCCAGCTACTCTGGATCAAACGCTGGACAGGGGAGGTGGGACGGATGACGTCCAAACGTCCTTACCCAACCAGAATCTCATCAGTAACCCTCAGTGCTCTCGAGTGAAAGCATTCATGGTGAAGGGTTTTGGTTTTGGTACGTGCAGGCAGGATTGAGCTCCACAAAGTAAAATTATCCAAAAATAAAATAAAATAAATTAATTCTCATAATTAAAATCAACAAGTAACACAGCAAAAAAAAAAAAAAATGAAAAAAGATGACAATGACTAGAAACCTGACATTTGAGTATATAGATTTCATTTAGAGAAGTATGCTAGCGTAAGTTTTATAATTTAAATCATCTTATTTTTACTTTCAATTAAGTTTTATTAGTTTTTCTACACTGTTGCATTTCTGCTGTGCAGCAAAGTGAATCAGTTTTATAGTGTATTTATGTATATTTATGTATATATATGTATATATATGTATATTCACTCTCTATTAGATTCTTCTCCCATATAGGTTATTACAGAGTATTGAGTAAAGTTCCCTGTGCTACACAGCAGGTCCTGATTAGTTACTACTTTAAATACTGTAGTGTTTATATACAGTGTTTTATTTGTCAGTCCCAGTCTCCCAGTTTACCCTCCCCCTACCCTCCCTTAAAGTTATTTTTAGAAGTCATTAGTGTTTCTGAGTATATAATTAATTTTAAGAAGAAACGCTAATGTCTTATTAGAATGTACACTTGCTATTTTCAGCAGGCTGGGGATTAGGCATTAGTTTGTAACTGAGACTCACTGTTATGACTCTTACCTGTAAATATCCCAGTGAGAACAGTTCTCTAATAAGGGCATCTTAGGCGGTAATGTTTTATAGTGCCTAACAAGATGTCTGGAACGTGGCAATGGAGACACGCAGGAAACAGAAAAATATATATGAAGTGAGTTTTATTAGAATATGAAGTAAGTAAGAGGCCTAGAAAGCTAAAAAGACCAATCTTTCGTTTTTCTCAGAAGGACCACCTTGATAATTTGAAGGTAGGAAGAGAACTATTAAATATGGAATTACAAACATCTCTGTGCATAATTAAGAGACTCTAAATTATAGTTCAAAAGCCTTAATTTGAAAAAGATCTGTGACCTATACTCTATCTAGTAACAGGCATGAAACTTACTATTTAACTCCTGATTTAATATTATACCTACTTGTTTGGAAAAGTAACAACTCATGGTTAAAAGCACTAACCAAATAATTCATGAAACTTGGGAATTAATATTACTAAAAGCTAATATCTTAATAAGAAGGAAAATGCTAACCAGTATTTTGGGGAAAAGGCTGGTCATGGTACTGACCAGGCAGTAAAGGAGGAAGATGAGCAGATGACTACATGAGGGCGAGTCCTTTCCACTTATCAGCTCTTGGATACAAACCCAGCAACAGCTAACAATCACTGGAAACTGGGTGAGATGGATATTAGCAGAATATTAATTCTGATTTGGCAGAAAAAATGGCAGAAACAAGTGAATTCACCTGAATTCACTTAAAACCTATGAGGGTTTCTGGCCGTCTATAGGACAAACAAGTCCCAGTCAATTAATATTTTGATAATTTAAATTTAATAATATTTCTACAAATTTAACTATCAATTATGAAAATATATTGCCCATTTGGCTTACATTAAAGTTTGATAAATTGATAATGGATTAAACCTTTGCTTAGGACATATTAAATATCAAACACCCCCTCCCCCAGTTTATTCATGTTTATACTAATGGTTGAATTGGGAAATCTCTTAAAACGTTTGTTTAAAATGTACTAAAGTATCACCTTCAAGCACCAGTTAAGGCCACTTAAACTGAAGCAAATGATTCAGCCTACCTCACAAACAATAGAAACCTCTTCTCAACTCCTAAACCTAAGGCAACTATCTTACGAAACAGGTTGCCATATAACTTTTCTAAGTAATTGCTTCAAAAATGATTTGGGGAGGAGTACACTCTAATTGGGGTCAGAAGAGAATGGAAACAATGAAAAATAGCACACAGTTTACAGAATGAAGGTACAGTTGACTGCCATTTACTGACTGTGAACCTGGATGATTCAAGTCAAATCATCTAGCCTTTTTCTACGTCTGTATCATGGGAGAAATAATCTTTAATGGGGATGCTATCCATGAGCATTAAATGAAAAAACAGGTACAAAGGATCTAGGACACAGTAAGGAAGCCACAGCATCTTCTGTACCACATGACTTTCTCAGGAAATGCTCTATGAAAAGATTATTTGATATGATGATAATAGGAGGGGATGAATTAAATGATATGGGACAGATATCTGTAGCACACAACTTTGGTATGCTTTGCATATAAAATCTAGGCACTGATTTTAATTTGCAAAGTTTTCAAAATATGTTTGACTTGCAAACTCTTAAACAGGTTGAACTCTGTGCAAGACTAACTCCTTGTCAAATTTTGGGGTGGGGGGGAACAGTTTAGTGGAAAACTTCCAATAGAGCTGATTTTGAATCCTTGCTAAGTTACATATCAAACAAAACTTTCTTAGCTTCTTTCCTCAACTGGGAAATGAAGGCAATAATATTAATGTGATATAACTTTGTCAGGATAATGAGAAAAAATACATTAATTAATTAGCACAGTTCTTTGTAGTCAATGAATGTTATTTTCCTTGTTTGCTGAAAAGTAGTAAATCCACAGATTTTATTCTTAAAACTCATAAGTGAATATGACAGACTGTATCTTGATGATATAATTTAACAAAATGATGAAACTACTAGTTTATTTTATCATGCATATTATGGTATTTTACCTTGAGAAATGAAATATAAGGGAAAGAAAAACAATATATTTACTAATTCTATATATATTATTGGTGTAAGAGTGTTAAAAATACCCACACTTTGGTGCCTAATAAACATGAAGGCTGTTTTTTGGTTTTGTTTTATGATTGGAGTCATGTCAACAGGAATAGAGAAAACTTTCTGAATAGGTAAAGAAATCATTCCTATTAAACTGTTTGTCAGGACAACTAATAGTAAGGCTGGAAACTTCAGCAAAAAAGAATCTCAGTTGATTTTTATAATAGTTATGATTTGACATGATTTCTCCAGTTTGGAAGCAGAACTGACATTCCTCACTTTTCCCTGTGGCACTGCACACGAAGCCGTCTTTATTTCAAGGCAAGTTTTTATACGTGTAAAACATTAGGGCTTACCACGTATAACGTAGTTGTGGTAAGCACATGTGCTTACCGTGGCCATGGGAGTGACCATGTTCACCACCTCAGCAGAAGCCCATGTCTTCAAAGACAAAATAAACCTGCGTGGGCACTGGCAGGATTTCCAGGTACAGCTCCTTCATTCTCTTTCCTACTTACACTTTACTGGCCACAATATTTGAAAGAGTTTGTCTGTGTGTCGGTTTGTTGGCTTTACTGAATTATTACTTCTTGCCCTTTTATTAACTCCATACTGACAATAAATATGCACAGATTATCTTGTAAGTAATCTGTAAGACAATTTATCTGGGATATGAGATCTAAGAGATGTAACACGATGAAAATAAAGCACTAGGTTCCAATTTAGAGGACAGTATTATGCCCCCTTTCGTTCTCATCTTTAAAAAGCCTTCATACTCTTATGTGCTTTCATGAGAACGTTTGCAGTGGAGCACTTCTGAACCGGTGGGGGCATGAAGGACTGGAGGGTTTGGAAGTTTACATGTCAAATATCCTCACTTTTTATCAAGATAGGAACTGAAGCTCAGCTATTAAAAATGAAAACAGTCAAGATTTTATTAAAATCAAACAAAGAAAACAACAATAGAATATGAAACAGACAAAAATTTTATAAAAAAAAAAAGGCTAAAACAAAGCAAACTTATAATGATGCAAACAGTAACACTGCCACGCACAGATCAGACTTTTGTGTCTTGATGGGTGTATGTGGCAGGCCTGGGGACCCCTCACAGCAAGGTTATAGAATTTTAATTGCAGAAATCGGTTCCTTGGTTTGGGGAATATGTAAACAGTTCTGCAGAGAGGCTCATTAACCTCTGGATTTTGAACGTCCAAACAGAAAAGCAGTCTGCCTGGATCAGAATTCAAATATATTGGAACCTTTTCCACAACTTCCATATGAGACAAAACCAATTTTGAATACTGGGTAAATTAATTGCACGTATTTGTAATCATACCGCTGAGGGGAGAGGCAAGCAGAGCAGAGTGGGGAGTCATCGCACACAGTCGCTGCACCAAACCCCTGCGTTTACCTGGTGGTGTGCAGGCATTCTGCGCTCCGTCCTCGTTTTGCTCTGGGAAGCATGAGAAGCTCGCTGCACAGACAGGATGGGTGGTGAGTGAAACAGATAGGCCATGAGGCGTTGGATGACATGGGTTGTGCCAATGGTATGCCGATGACAACAGGAAGAGGGAAGAAACCAGATTGTCTGCACTAGCATATTTGCTTCAGAGTTCAAACAAAAATAAACATGACAGTATTTTTAAAAATTTAAACAATAAAGTGCAAACATGGTGGTCAAAGTCCTAGCTGTTGCTGATTTGCTATTCTATTTCAAAATGATTTCATAAGAGTATCAGGAAAAAACTTAAACGGATCCCTTCCCATGTAAGACACAGAAATCTATTTCCAATTCTAGACATTTGGTTATTTTAATAAGCTTCTAAAAGCCCTATAAATCTGGCTTTTCCGCTTCTAATGGGAACCCTAGATCCTTTCACTTCTTTTTAGCAACTCAAAGCATGATGGTTTTCTCGGTTTTTACAGCCACTAAAAGGCAACATCTCACTTTCTGTTTCTCATTTTTCAGACTAGGAACATACTTGATTAGGACTGTTTATCTTAAAATCGATACTTTTCCTTCACTCAAATTAATTTCACTCTACTGAATGCCCTGGTCTGGAAGTCCTTTTTTATCCCCTCCTTCACATAAATTCATGGTGGCCCTGGTGACTGTCAACAAAGGGACCCTCAACTGACCTCAGTCCACCCTGAGTAGCCGAGAAACCTACTCTGGAGAGCAGTGTTAAGTCCCAGGAAGTTCCATCACCCCATCCTGAAGGTCTTGGCCCTACTCCCTCTACGGCAAGGTGAGAATCACAGAGCTAAAAGGCTATCTGTGAGTTCTGTGTCCTTGATTACACAGCAAAAAATCAGCCACCGAGTACCACTCTCCCTTCCTACCCGTCCCTAAAAACCTGTCCACTTCAAAAAGCCAGAAGACACTATCCAACCAGCTGGGGATTCTAACCACTAAGTCAGACCCTGAGCTTATGGTCAAGCACATCCTATATGAAGAGGGTGGGCCAGAGGAGCAGGTCTGTAGAAATGTAGAACAATGGAAGCAGAATGCTAATTTTCAGTAACTGTAAGTAACAGGAAGTACCTTGTTCATAAAGAAATGCAGAACTAAGTTTACATACACATCCATAGAAGAAAGAGTCCATTTCAACATTTTGTACTTTACAGACACTTTAGGTTACTACATTTTATGAAAAGTAGGTGTACTAAAAAAATATTACTATTGAAGTTCTCACAGATACTGTGAAAGTAAGTCTTTCAAATGAGCTGTCCTTTTTTATTACAGAAAAAACAGAATTTCACAATTATACAAATAATATTCCTAAGACTGCAATACACAAAAAATAAAATATTTAAAAGTAGCTTATATAGTCTCCCTTCTGTAACTTAGGTTAAGAAAGTCAACAGCAAACTGTATATTTAAAACTGGCTAAACATAAATTCTGATTTTGTAAAATAGTGCACATTTTATGACAATACACTATTAGTCAAATATTTCCTAGAGATCCATTTCTATTAGAATATCTCAAAAGTCATTCCTTGGGAGAAGTTCAGTTTTGAAAGACGGAATTCTTTCACTGTCTCTTGCGCTCTGCTAAGATATCTATCATATATGAAAACACGGCAAAGTAAATGTATCATGTTGAGATCATAATGTGAAAAAATACCTGTCTTGTTCTGATAAACACTGACTATCCACATCTCTGATTCTCTGATCAATTGGGCTTCGGGAGGCATCACGGTGTCTGGTTGGAGAACGTGATCTTCTTGTTGGATGAATTTCATCTAAACTCCTAAAATGATTACAAAGATTTACATGTATCAAAATGTAACATTTGTCCCAAGCAGTCTGAGAGACTGACAGGAAAGAACTGACAGTAATTGGCAAACAACTGACTCGGCTTGTAAACCTCTGGCCATATCCCCAAATGCCTGTTTTAAAGATATTTATTGTCTGTTGGTGATGGACAGGGAGGCCTGGCGTGCTGCAATTCATGGGATTGCAAAGAGTCAGACATGACTGAGCGACTGAACTGAACTGAACTGGTTGTCTGTTGTTGCTTTGCGTATGCTATATTTCCCCAATCTCCTTTTGAACTACTATCAAAAAAGGACCACAGTTTTCATCTGCATACTTAAATAAAATTTCAGAACTGCTTTTTAGGGTTAAGTAAAATACAGAAGGACATTCCTTATGGTTTATATGCTTTTCCAAACATTTACAGTGCTTCAAAGAGACAGCACCAAATTTCTTAAAAATATATTCTGACTTTTAACCTTATTTTCTCTACCACTTCTCTGCCCAAGCTAATTTATTATCCTACAGTTTCTCCCAACAGGAGAAAAACAAACAAACAAACTAGCAAATAGAATACAATACAGTTATTCAAAACCCATGCTTGTGACATTAACCTCTTCCACGCCCTGGGAGATGTCTTGAGATTGGAGAACAGAATGTTGCCCAGGTTGGGTCATGAATAAGACAGCATTTTGCCTACAAAGGGATCTGAAAAATAACTGATTGACCAAACCATTCTTTCATTTCCGTGAGAGTCTCCTAGCAGTTTGCATGTTATTATAATAAAAATGTGCAGTCAGGGCTTCCCAGGTGGTTCAGTGGTAAAGAATCTGCCTGCCAATGTAGGACGTGCAGGAGATGTGGGTTCAAATCCCTGGGTCAGGAAGATCCCTGCAGGAGGAGATGGCAACTCACTCCAATCTTATTGCCTGGGAAATCCCACGGGCAAAGGAGCCTGGCGGACTACAGTCCACGGGGCCTCAACAAGTCGGCCCGGACTGAGCACGCAGCCGGCCCGGACTGAGCACGCGGCCGGCCCGGACTGAGCACGCAGTCGGCCAGGACTGAGCACGCAGCCGGCCAGGACTGAGCACGCGGGCTTATAACATAAAAGAAGTCCCGTCAAGGATGCAAGGCCCTCTCAAAGCCTACCTCTGTAGTGGCACATTTGGTAACCGTGACCGTGGCCTCCCCTGGTCATCGCCGCGATGAGGAGACACCGACCGCGAGCGGTGATGAGTTGTTCTCTGCTGCTCTGGCACGGTTAATGTTGAAGGTTTGCTTTCTCGAGCGCTAGACCTATAACCTACTGGTGAGAGTATACATGAAGAACAAGTCAATATTCTTCCATAATGTCAACGCTAATGTGGCGACGTCAAATTATACCCAGAGCAGCCACTGACCTATGGAGATAAGTGCCATGCAATCAGTATTATCAGGCTTATCTGCAAAACTACTAAGTACACGCATGGAGTGTAAAAGACACATGCATGAGGACCGAGTAGAGTTTGGCTCAAGTCAAAGGTTACCATGGAGACACTGACATGAATATGACAGATGATGCCTCAAAAATCATGATGAGTTGGGATACTGGCTTAAAGAATGAATTAGTGATTTTTTTTCAGCAATACAAATCAAGGACTTGACAGTGAACTGTCATTCATATACAAGTCAATGCTTAGAAATTTGGTGCCTTTTTAGATTGTCTTTTTTTATTTTTTCTTCTAAATGACAATATATGTTATTTGGATTTCAGATGGCTTTGATAATAAGAAAATAAAATCAATATCATACCAATTTTAATTATCAAAGAAGAATAGCAGGTCTTCACTATTACAAATACTGATTGTGAATTTTGTGAACCACAGATAATACTGTAATTTTCAAATGAAAATATGGTATGGGTGAGAATGACTGTGGAAATAATGTAGAACAAATTAAACCTCCTAAAGAAATAATAATCAAATCTACCCCAGTATTATGAAACTATTCCACAAATGTGCTATTAAACTAAAATAATTAGGTTAATAGTTAGTTCAAGTTAAAAATAAATTTTAACGGTCATGCTCCCGTGAAACAAAAAGGTTTTTATGATCTCTTATTTAGTTAAAAATTAAACAGCAATCTCAACTACATAGTAACAGTTTAAGTATTTTTCACAAGGGTCATTGTTACTATTGTTGCAAGAAAAACCAAAAAATTATGTGACCAAAGGAAAAATAACTATATTTACAACGACATAAAATGTACACAAACTATGGAAACATTAAATTTAACTGGGCAGCCTGACCAATGTTCATCTATTTACTTGATAACTCCCACATCGTTTTTAAAGGCCATGTGACATTTTTAAAGGCAGACTAAAATTCCTCAACAGTTTATCTGTTGTGATTATATAATCTTTTGACCTCGTTTAGCATATAAGGTAGGTCTTGAAACATTTCATAAAGGCTCATATGACAATACTGACACCAAAGAAGTTCAGCCATTTTGCCACTCTCTAAAAACATCTAGCAGCTGGTGCTACAAGATGCACTTGAAAGGAAAAAAAAACGAAATAACTTCCAAGCAAGTTTTCCGTTCCAAGGAGAAAGCTAAATTTGTACCATTACTTTGAAAATTTGTAAATTAAGAATGTTTGTTTACATTAAAAAGTTCAGAAGCACTATAATGTGAAAACAACAGTAAACTTGGTAGCTTTTGGTGTTCTTATTTTGGAGATGGGGAATGATGGGAATGTTTGAAATGTAAACAGTAGTGGTATAAAATCATTTTCATTTAGTATTCATGCAAAAAAGTAATAATTACATAGTGGTACAGTGGTAAAGAACCATCTGTCAATGCAGGAGACTCAGGTTCGATCCCTGAGTCAGGAAGATCCCCTGGAGAAGGAAATGTTAACCCACTCCAGTATTCTTGCCTGGAGAATCCCATGGACATAGGAGCCTGGCAGGCTACAGTCCATGGGGTCACAAAAGAGTTGGACATGACTTAGTGACTAAACAACCACAAAAACATCAGTAAACAACCAAATAATTATAAACGTAAGTGCTATTAATTTATAATTTCATATACTTTCATTTTATAAAAACAATAGCAATTCACATATTATTTTTAATTTCATGTAGAGTTTCCTTGTTCAGGAAATTGTAATATTAAGCCTAGAAAGAGATCAACTAAATACACATGTAATATTTATTATATTAGCCCTTCATTTGCTATGCTGCCTTCATCATAAAAGTATGAAGTTTTAGGTGAATAAAATATGAGAACGACCCACAGAAGTAAATTATATTTAGATATGTTGGAAGTCACAGCATTAAGGTAATTAGCAGGCAAAATTTTTGTTAGAAAGATTTGATAACAAGACCCCATTCCTCTGAGGAATCATCTGAGTTCTATTAAATATGCCAAGGGGTTCCATTTACAACTACCTTCCCCCTTTCAATTTCATAAAAAATATTCTATTGAATTCTGTGTGGAAGTTTCCATGTAAAGTGTGTCTAATTACACTGATCCTTTTAGAAACCAATAAACTCAGAAACAAAACATGAACTGTAATCCACAATTATCCACTATTATTTAAAACTCCCTGATGGTCTGATATCAAGTGGTAATCTAAGTATACAGATATGCGCAGAACCAGATTTATTGTTGTTAAGGATATCTGCCACTTCATACAGTGATCAAAGACTATATTTTCTCTGAATTACAGGGAGCAAATGAAGCCTAATTTTAGGGACCTCTCCATAATATTCTCCCAGTTTTAATGAAGTCGTAAAAAAAATCTCTAAATTGTAAACTCAGTCACTAGTGTGGCATCTGTCTGTAGCCATTTACCAAAATCATTGCCTTCAAATTAGGTGCATCCCTGTCTGAGGAATTATATAAATTAAGGGGGCAGATGTCAATATCTTCCTAAGAAAATGTTCTTAATAGCCTAACAAGTTCTCTTTAATTTTTCTCATTTGAATATCTCCCTACTTTTCATTAGCAAATAAAAGGAACAGGGTTAGTGCCAAGAAAACAAGTCTTTACTAATTGGTTTTACTCACTTTCTGACTAGTCAAGTAAGAAACAGACTTGAAATGCAAAGTATCACAAAGATTTTACTAATTTACACGGTGACAAAAGACATTGACTTAAAACAAATAGTAAACTTTTCTAAAGCATTTTCTTTTTGTAAAACATACATACACATTCTAGGTATAATCATTCTACGTATAATCAGCACATCACAAAAGCATTGAAGTTAAGCCATGCCACATGCAATTTAAACCCTGCCATGCACATTTCTCAGTATATTCCATGGACGGCTACATTATTTCCAGAAACACAGGAAGGAAAGTCACAGAGATACAATATTAAATATAGGAGAATGGGATTTTTATTTAAAAATTAACTATCTCTTTTCAAAATTCATATTTTCACTTCTGCTCAGAACATTTTGATTTGACCATTTTAACCTCACGAGCCATGCTTCTAAAGGAGAACCTATCTAATTTAATTTAAGGGGGGATGTTAACGAATAGTTACTAGTCCATTTCACACTTTCTTAATAATCTGGAACACAAGTCACCATGGAATAGTATCATTCAGACTTCTCTGTGCTGTAGATCTGCGGCGTGGGGCCCAGGGAAGTCGGGAAGCCCGAAGAACAGCAAGCACAGAAGCGCCGGACCCCGCCACACCCCCCCCACGCACCTGGAGGGACCACTCCAATCGCATCATCAACCTCATAGTCTGACATGTCACTGTCACTGATTCGCTGGGACCCTGCGCAACAGGAAGGCAAACAGACACCTCTGCGTCGGCTCGGGTCAGGAAATGTGGAGGACACGGTCACAGATTTCTCTTTAAATGCTAGTTACATTGCTACTGAACACTTTATTTTTATTGAATGAAGTATATTGACTTCAATATCTCAGGGTGCAAAAAAGTGATTTTCTTGTACATATATATTCTGCAAAGTTCATGTGCAATTGGTTTTCAAATACTTGTTCTCCAAGGATACCATGTTCTCAGTATCCTTATAATCACTGAAGACACACAGAAGAGACAAGATTTCATAGAACAGTATTTTGACTTTTTAAATTATTCTTTAATTCAGGTCTATAGCAAAGTGTAAACTGTTTTCTACCCACTTATACACCGTCCTGCACAGTGCAGGCAGGATGGGGCTGAGTGGAAAGGTTCAGAGAGACCTTTCTTGGCTGGAACTCTATGGCACTCATGTTATTGAAAGGGTATCAGGTCCCTTTATAAATGTTTATGTTTAGCCTTCAAAATTAGCCATTATACTGCATTAAAGGTTTAATTTGAGGAAATAATTCATCAGAGAAGCACTAACATGACATGTTTAATTATACGAATATTTGAACAATTATTTGAACATTGATTCCAGGTTACCAAAATGAGGTTTCTAAGTTTCATTTGCCCAATAAGAGATTTAGTCATAATTCAAAAATTAATAAATAAGTGCAGAAAAAGTACATTTTTCTCCCTCCAATCATCAGATGAGTAAAAGCAAACACATTTTACAATGCTTTTGAGAAAATGTTTCTTACAAATAATACTAAAATATCCAGGAATTATATGGTTATTAAGATATTCTACACAGCAGCCCATCAATTAAGGCAATAACTGCCCCCCTCGGTCAGCCAATGAACAACCCCATCAGCAAAAAGGATTATAATTCGCAGGTTCTAAACTTTCACCTTGGGAATGACTCCACTATATTGTATGTATTACTTTCATTGGGAAAATGGAGAAAACGATCTTGCCAGGCTTCTTTATATAGATGACTAATTTTTCAATAATCTCTAATGAACATTTGAAAAAATACCCTGAACGTCAATATGGAATTCAGAGCTAACAACACACTTGCTCCTGGCAACTGAGAAGAACGTCAACCTACTTTGCAGCTTCTTGCTGGCGCTTTCGCCGTGGGTGTGTCGCCGCGGCATGAAGGGCGATGGCTGAGGCAGAGGTAGTGAAGATTCGTCATGAGTCTGAAGTTTATACCAATGTGGCTCGTCGTCTAGAAGCGCTGTTTCCAACTCTATGAGGATCTGAAAGGACAGTCCTCAGGTCAGATCAAGGCCTTTCGCAAAGCAGAAGGAAGCTGCCACTATAATGCCCGCTGCAGGAGCTGCACGAAGCAGCTCACTGAGGTCTTGACCACATACTCACCTCTCCAAGGAACTCACTCTCCTCTTCCTGCACCCTGGGCTGGTCCCACACTGTTATTTCCAGCATCCGTTCTCTAAAATCTCTACGATGCACGTGCGAATAGACAAAAGTCTGATTCCACTTTGGTTCTAGGACTTTCTTTACCGTTTTGGTTCTCCTTTTACTTTTATCACTGAAAAGTAAGTATGCTTTGTCAATGAAAAAGCAAACGGGATGTTCTGAGAGAATAGCACTGAAACAAGTATACTATCAAGGGTGAAACAGATCACCGGTCCAGGTTGGATGCATGAGACAAGTGCTCAGGGCTGGTGCACTGGGAAGACCCAGAGGGATGGGATGGGGTGGGGAGGGAGATGGGAGGGGGGATCAGGATGGGGAACACATGTAAATCCATGGCTGATTCATGTCAGTGTATGGAGACAAGTGCTCAGGGCTGGTGCACTGGGAAGACCCAGAGGGATGGGATGGGGAGGGAGGTGGGAGGGGGGATCGGGATGGGGAACACATGTAAATTCATGGCTGATTCATGTCAGTGTATGGCAAAAACCACTACAACACTGTAAAGTAATTAGCCTCCAACTAATAAAAATAAATGGAAAAAAAAAAAAGAAAAAGCAAACGTAAGTATATGCTGCCACCTACTGTAGCTACATGCAATACTGATCTCGGAATATTTTTACAATCTGTAATTTATACCTTTTATATAATAGTCTGAAAAGACAGTTGAGTTTAATAAAATTCTAGTTTTAAATATGATATAAGCAGTTGTTACTATTATAGATGTGCACACACAAGGGTACATGATAAATGATGTAGCTGTCAAAGACTAATAGATGCAGAAACAAGGTAATGAAAAAATTTTAAATTGGCAGGTTATTTTAAAGAAATATAAGGCGTGAGGGAATTTTTTAGGGACAATATATAGCTTATTCCCCCATAGAGAAGTACCTATTATATTTTAAAATTGTATCAAGGTGTACACATGTGTGCAAACTCATCAAAATATATATAATTAAGTATGTGGAAATTTTGGCATATCAATTACACCTCAGTAAAACTTTAAAAACTAAATGAAACTATATCCCAGGAGAAGAAATTCTACTTTTTCTATAAAGATTTTTGCATATTAAAAAAAATTTTATTTCATACCTTCTATCTGGAAGAAAATACATTTTTACATAGGGATTCCTGGGACGCCCATCTACTCTAGGGGGTAGGTCTGTAGCTTGCAGAACATTGACAATCAGTTGGTGGCCCACCTTGTCATACCACAGCTTCACCTAAGCACAAGGGGCAGAGAAATTAGCATTTATAAAAATCATGAGGTATTAAATTTTCACAAAAAGTACTAAAATTATTTTTGAAGGACATGTCAAGTTACAAAATACAACTGAATCATAGTTATTTTTCAGCAAAGAATACTGACGTGAAAGCATAACCGCTTTAGAACTTGACTTTCCTCTTCACACATTTTAAACATGACTTACAACAGGCAGGCCTGCCCATGTTGCTGTATACTCTCTTATACTGTGTGATGAAATAAAAATAACGGTAAAAATTTCAGAAAAAAAATAAGGGAAGAAGGGAATATTGAAATAATTATTCTTGTTTTTAAATGCTGAATGCAGCTTTTCGGTGATTACAAGTATCGTAACGATTACAGCATGGCTAAAGGCATTCTGCAGCGCCACTTGGAGCTGAAACAAAACGTTCAGTGCTAGAAACAATATACTAGGAAACACATTTACTGCAGACCTCTTTACACCAGGTACTGCTGCGTTCCTCATTTAATTTTCAACTAACCTATTACAGGTTAATTTTCATGAGAGGAGAAAAGCAAAAAGGAAGGTATCCTGCATATATGATGCCTTCAAACCAAATGAAGACCAAGCGATATTTCTATTAACTAAGATTCATGATAGCGTGAATAAAGAAAACCAGGAAAAGAGCACACACTGAAAAATTACTGGCAAACTGCTGACACAGTCAGGGCAGTATTTTTACTGGCAGGAGACAATGTTAACTTTATTTATTTATTTATTTTTAATTTAGAAGTTAGCTTTGGGTTTATGGTTAAATAAGAACTATCAGGATAAGTTGTTTAATAGTTATTTATTGAAATACATTTAATAGTCATTGTAACAAAATAAGCTAATTTAACTATCGAACGGTGTGAAGCAGGATTTTCTATTAGCTATTAACACAAACATCCTGTAATAGTCACAGCTTCTTGACTTCATCTTTTCCCAGATCACATATAAGACCACAGTGAAGAAAACTAGCTTTTTCACACTAAGATCAGTAATGGAGAGTTTCATTAAATGTCTTAAGAAAGTTAAAAAATATTTTAAATTTAAGTTTTCCAAGATCCAGGAAAATGAGGCTGTTAAGTAAACAAGAACACGGCTTTCTGCATTTATTGTGTCTAACCAACTACTTACCTTAGAAACTTTCATACAGCACACACAAAAATAATTGATAGCTTATTTTCTTAAGTTATCACTTAATGTTCAGCACATCTGGCATATTGTAGGCACTCCATAGATATGTTCAGATAAATATGTGAGTAAAGAAACAATCTAATAAATGAATGAAAAACTGATGATGTGTAAATGATGCTGTGAAATGAGTCTGACTATATTACAGGCCTTAAGAAAAGCCACACATTTTAAAGACAGAAGCAGAGCAGGGAGCTGACACTAATAGTCAGCAACATGCACTGCAAATACATACAGAAAGTTGTCCTGGTAATACTTGTGGGGCATCTTTGAGAGCTCCAGGGCTTGTGGGAGAAATTACAGAAATGGAAGGCCTTTCCATCTTCTGAGACTCAAAGGAACTAGAACCTAAAATGAGGGGGAAAATTAAGTACTTTTTAATAATATAATTATAACCTGTATGTGAAGAATACATATTTTCATGAAATGTTAAGTGCATATGCTATTGGTATACAATCGTAATTCAGTGCCACCCATAAGAGTAGAAATCACTTTCAGTGGGGAGGTTGTAGAAAGTTATTGTCATGTCTTCTTGGATTGTCTATTTTAAGGGAATTTAACGTGATGTAAACAAATACTGAATGTGTTTGCTTCACTCTCTTAGCATTGACTTTCTATGTTTCTACAAGGTATTGTCCAATGTAAGTTCTTGTACAGCCTTACCCAGAGTTCAAGGCTTCATGCTTTAATGATAAGAAAGATGGTACCCATTATGTTAATGATCTTAGGATCATCTATGATGAACTGCCCTCACTGAAATTAAAATGGATGCATGTATCATATAATTTATGAGCTGCATCTAAGCTGAGATAGAATTCATCAGTCTTTTAAGATAAGATTTCCACCTCTTTCAGTTGTGATCTCACAAATCTATCTCCTGACTGTCTAAGGACGCTGTCTAGTGGTTCACCTGTGGAGGAGGGATGGTGGCTTCCCACATAACACCGCAGTGAGGGTCTTCTCCCCTCTTTCAAATGAAAGTCCTCTTTTCCTGGATCACTGATAAACTGTCCACAGCCAGCAGGATGAGTGTTTGCAGAATGCTATATCCCCAGCAAGTATAACCTTGAACCCACAGCCATCAAACCTTAGTTTTATTGAGAAAACAGTGCTTATGAACCATTTCCCAAGAGTTTCCCATCCACACTTTTTTCCATACATGCAAATTATCAATATGGTTAAATTAATCACACAGTGTCATTTTACACCTTCCCAAGACTTTTAAATATCAGATACAGTGCCAAAAAATTCTTTGTTAACTGTATCTCCTTGATGAAGTATTCTTAGGATAATTTTCTTCTTAGTTCTCAGACATTGTTGCTTCTAACAGTACCTTTCTAATATTACAGACTTAAAAAAAAAAAAGCATCAACATTGTAAGTTATCCAATCGGTCCCATTTCTCTCTTCACATTAGAAAACTAAAAAAGAACCATGGGCTCATATCTAGCAGGAATGTGCAACATGATGCTATACATTTGACTGACTCTCCTGATCCCCACTTCCTTGTTTATCCCACCCACACATTTCCTACCTTCTTATAACCATCTCTTGTTTTCTCCTAAAATCACCTTGTATCTTCTATTCCAATAAGCTAGGTTACATAATAACACTTGGTGATAAAGCCCTAGTATTATCAATTCAATGCCAATACACTGTAAAGTAAATACTTAAGTCACTTCCACACTGTCCTTGAAAACTTCACTACCCACGTTATCATCTTCCATCTGGAGTCCCTTTAATGTCCATGTAGATAACTTAACCCTCCAGCCTCAATCCCATAACTCCTTTATTTGCACTGAAATCTCCCTCTACCCCACCCATCACATTTATGGTCATATTCCACACTGTTACACTGAATTAAAATTATTTGTTTCTGTGCCCGTTTCCTTCACTAGACTGCTCATGCCATGAAGTCAGTTTCCAATGAAACCGAACAATCCAGCATCAAAACACATGTTTATGTAAGGCAAATAGGATTGTTCTGGTGTTTAGCTGCTAAGTCAAGTCCAGCTCTTTGTGACCCCATGGACTGGAGCCTGCCAGTCTCCTCTGCCCGTGGGATTTCCCAGGCAAGAATATTAGAGTGGGTGGCCATTTCCTCTTCCCTGCCTGCTAAGGAGGAGACACGGTTAAGATCTCTGGGTCTGGAAGATCCCCCGGAGAAGGACATGGCAATCCACTTTGGTGTTCTGGGAAATACAGAGAAAACTGAGAAATCTCATGGACAGAACAGCCTGGAGGACTATAATCCACGGGGTCGCAAAAGAGTCAGACATGACTTAGAAACTAAACAACAGCAAATAGACAAATAGAACTATTACTTTCATTAATTTTGCTCTGTGCATCCTAAATGCTAAGATGCAGAAGGCTACTGCCAAGAAAGACTTTTGAACTTTTGGTAGGCACATTCACATCCCCCCATACACAAAGAATAGAAAGAGAAAAATCTTAAAGCAGATCGTCTTTGGATTTCCCATGGTTGACAACTCATTTATATCAAATAACTGAAAAAGACCTTAAATTTTATACTCACTGGACTCCAGTGGTGGATGGGAGCTCTCAGGAATCCTTGGAATGTCACTAAAAGAAACAGGGCATGGTGAAAATCCCATTAGCTAAACCACCCTGCCTGAGGCAATCACAACCACACTTTATCTCAGTGGTGTCAAAAATCCTTTCGTGGAATTTGGACAAGAGTTACCATTAAGGCAACTTCTAATGTGCATGAATGTCAAACACCATACACACACACACACACACACACAAAACTTCAGTAAAAGTAAGTTTTTATATATTTAATAGCAAAACACTTTAACATGACAACAATCAGAATAATATTGCAGCTAAAATTGCCACAATATTTTTACTACCAAAACAGCAGGTTTTGGAAATAAAAAATGTTAAAGGCAATATTTTATTTCAAATCTAGAAAATCAAAGTGACACATATTTTACAAATCAGTAATATGCTTTACAAACACATCTGAAAGAGTTTACTGAATGAAAGGAATGGAAACATCTCCTGAGAATAAAATAATATGGTGAATATCATGGGCAAAGTTAAAAAAACAAAAAAAGATGGATCGCTTTGGAAATTAAAAATGGTTCAAGCTAGCAACAAAAAAGCCAAAATATATTATATATGTGAATATATAATTCATATGCACATATATAACCCTATACAGAGATTCATATCTCTATGCTGAAGTTAGCTAAATATATGGCCATTGACTAGATGATCAGAAAGTGACTTGTGAGAACACCCACTCCTGACACACTCACAAATTATTCTGAATTAATATTTAATATGACCTCAGCCTCATCCATTATCCACTGTGGCCTTAGAACCCTGGACCAGCTTGGTTTGGGAATTATACTGTATTAAACTATTTAACTTCTTTTTTCCAAGATATTTTCATATCAATATAAGACCATTACCAATATACAAGTATTAACAGGACAAATTAAAGCAGACTGGAGTTAGCTAGTCCCAATAAAATTATCAGAATATTATTTAAGAATTTCTAACCACTTACCTTATGAACTAACTTCATTTTGATTTTTCTTTGCACTTTTGGAGGGAATTGAAATAAAAATAGCTTTCTGTTTGGTGATTTATTTTCCTGACTCTTCATTTTCACATTTTTGGGCAAAGTAATTCCAAACACCTACAATTTTTACTTCTTACAAATGACAATTAATCTCATGTATTTTATGTGTGTTCACCTGCTCAGTCATGTCTGACTCTTCGCAACTCCACGGACTGTAGCCTACCAGGCTCCTCTTATCCATGGAATTTTCCAGGCAAGAATGCTGGTGCTAAGTCACTTCAGTTGTGTCTGACTCTTTACGACCCTATGGACTGACTGCAGCCCACTAGGCTCCTCTGTCCATGGGATTCTCCAGGGAAAGAAACTGGAATGGGTTGCCATTTCCTCCTCCAGGGGATCTTCCAGGGGAGAATACTGGAGTGGGTTGTCATTTCCCAATACCAGGGACCTTCCCAACCCAGAGACAGAACCTGTCTCTTGTGTCTCATGCATTAGCAGACAGGTTCTTTGCTACTGTGCCACCTGAGAAGCCAAATTTTATTATATAATCATGTACAATTAATAATGTGTCTGAAATATACATTTTATGTGATAATGGGGCTAATTATTCAATACCTAAGACACAAGAAACCAACTATATATCTTCTACCTTCTTAATTCAAAGGCAGAAAATCAATTCTTAAAAATCTAGAAACAATATTTTTTTAGATAATATAACTTCTTTGAAAATTATCCTCAGCTATGACAGTAAAATTTGGAACTTCAAAATTAGATATAAGCTTTGAATTTTATGTGTCTGTGAAAGAAGAATAATGGAGAAGTTACAAAACATTCTTTTGAAGAGACAGAATTAAAATTATTTAATGTTTGTTAATTGCTTCAGTGATATTTTCAAGAAAAAAAATGTCCTCTTGACAATTATATAAGCCTTCTGAAATTGTTCTGCTCATAAATAAGGTGGTAAAACAGTCTGGATAAAAATTACAATCATAAAAAAAAAATTACAATCATAAAGTTAAAGAACACTACATTAGGTGGAATAGCAAAAATGGGCAGTACCTCAGGATGGCTGATGTCTATTAGACCATGCTGGTCAGTATGTGTGTAAGTTATATTTGGGATGATTCTTGGAATCACTATAACTATCCCCTTAAACAATGAATACATATCTGCTTTCTGCTTTAATTATAGAACTACATGAAACATAATTACTAAATATATCTAGAATTATTCTTCCAAGATTCTAAAAAATTCCCTATTAACTCAAAAGTTGATGTCAGATTTAATTTTTATTTAAATATTCCCATTTCCTTAAATATAGTATTCCCATATCCTTTGAGTTCCACAATCCATGATGGTTTAGATCTGTTTATGCAAAGAATACTTTAAAAATTATTTTTACACTATAGATAATGAGAATGTTATTCCAGTCCACTTTAACTGTCTGTTAATTTTTATTTTTTAAATCACCATGAATCAATGGTATTTTAGCTGATTACTTAAAATCACTATATATTTGAAAGTATTTGGCAATGTGCCCAATGCTTTAAGTTTTGTTTTTTATACTTCTGATTCATTATCCAATTTACTTACCTCTTTTCCAGTCTCATGTTTACCTCAGCACTAGAACACGTCATGTAAAACTAGCATAAATTATATAGTGTTGTTATTCTTAAAAAATCTGCATGGAAATGTACAATACTTCTGCAAATGTCTTCAATCTTTATTCTTAATAATCACCACTTAAAATTGATTATAAGTTTGCCTTTACTTTAGAGTTTTATATATGTATATTATTCTTTAGAATATATGATCATACAGTTTCAGTTCTTTGAGAATTAGGATAATTATATTTTCTCGCATGTTTTGCATTGATATGTATTCATGAGAACAACAAAAAATTAAGGTTACTAATCTTCCATAAAAAGTCTTGAATTTATGGCTCTATAATATTTTAGAGAATACAAAAAAGGGAATAATTTCAAAAAATATATTCAAATATTAAGCTAATTATGAAACAATTCATAATGCCTTCCAAAAAATTACAGACAGGCATAATGAATATTCTGGACTTGTGGGTTTGTTAGGAAAATATACCAATATGGGAACTCTATATACAGAGAAAAAATATCCTGTTGACTTTAGATTATTAAGTTATGCTGAAAATTAGAGTTTTAAAAATATCATTCCGATTATCATGGTGAATTAAAATGCTTAAATATTTCATGCTTGCTTGATTTTAAATAAAATTTGGAACTACCCATAATTAAAGATATAGAAAAAGTATTCCATTCTTAGTAGAATAACAAAAAGTCATGTAGACGTATGAAATGACTACTATTTTAAATATCACAAAAAGATGAGTTTGTAAGTGACTCTCTTTAAGGAAACACTATAGTAATTTAGAATTAATAAAAATAAATAGTTCTACCATTAAAAGAAAATATTTTTACTTTATAGCCCACTTATGAAAAATACATACTTTTTGATACTACAATTGTTAAATAGTGGAGCTCCTAAAATGTAAAGTGAAGAAAATTCAGTCCAAGTTTAAAAAATTGAGATTTGAAAGATCTAAAATGTATGCCCATATTTGAAGAAAAACTATCCATTGTAACATGTACTGTATGAATGTATAAACTTCTTTTAGAAACCCTGCTAATACATGTAATTTACTAAACTTAAGAAGCAAGTTTTTTTAGCCTTACCCAATAGGCCTTGAAACAATAATTTCAACTTGAGGTTCTGATTTTGATTCTAAAATAATGTTGTAAACTTCTTCATTTGTAGCTCCCGGCAGGGGTTTACCATTCCATTCTAGAACTTCATCCCCTTGAATTTAAAAAAAAGGGTATTTTTTTACCTTATATATTCTGTTTATTTTTCTTATCTTTTCTTGTTTTTTTTTTTTAACAAAGAAATGCAAAACATATACAAATAGTTTAATCGTCTAGGCTCTGCTCTTGAAAGCAAACTGATTGCCATATAATGTCAGCTAAATGGTTCTTTCTAAACACTTTTTTCTTTTTTGTTTTTTTCTTTCCCCCATCGAAGATTACTGGTCATTTGAAACAGTACAACACAAACTACCTTTATCTTTTGAGAAATATCAGAAATAATATAAAAAATCATCTCATGCTATGGGATGGAATTAGCACAGCTCATTTGGAAACATCAAAAATAATAATTAGCAGCATGCCCTCCATAATATAAATGTAGGCGGCTCTACACATGAAAGATTATTAAATGCTGCATAAATCCTGCTTTACTTTTGGTAGAAATAGCAATTAACATTTGTTAGCATGAATTTTCCAACTATAAGTCATGCTTCATTGCCTTCTCCAGATGCACAACAGAATAAAAATGCATGAAAGGATTTGAATTCATACCCAGAGGGTAACGCAGGGAGCTATGGCAAAATTACAAAGCAAGCAGATGTAAAACTGTTGCATGACAGTCAACCCACTTCCAGATGTTCACACACACGTTCTATACATAATACATATCATAGTAATTAAGGTAAAATTAGAAAGTATTTTTAAATAATAAAAATATAATACATATTAGGTTGTTAAATAACATGGTATTCAGATACATGGACTAACCTGCTATATTAACCAGAGCTTTCAGCAAAGAACATTTGGAAAAAAAAACACTTATTTTCGTAAATATTTAGAGCAGTTTTAGTTCTCAAATATCTCTGCAATGTACCATTGAATTGACAGTATAGGCTCAGCTGAAATATCCCAGCTGCAGGGATATTTTGAGGAGTCTTAGTTTTGTGTTTGTGTTTGCTTATTTTGCTGTTATAAGTTTCTGTAATACTTCAGTAGCAAATGAAATATGTCTCTAATAAAGGGAGCAATATCATCATTATACATTTAAAGCTAATGACAAATATGGAACTTTTTAGTTTTTAGCTATGCCTTTAAAAAAAGTAGATTGTTGCTTTGCTAGGCTTATTTTAAAATAATTCTTCTCCCTACCTCCAAGTGTTTGCTTACTCAAAAGTAAAAAGGCAAATATTTGAAAAGCATATAATGCTGTTTAGGTATGATAAGAGTATGCTTAGTACAAACAGTTAAATGACTTCTGATCATTTGACCTAAGATGTTAACTAGCAGTTTTTCAAACAGGAGTGAATACACCTCACTCTATTGAAAAAAAAAAAAAAAGTAATACAAATTTAAAATATATTAGGAGTCTTTTATATTTACTGTAAATTTACTGTAAAATTTAAATTTACAAAAAAAGGAAATAAAATTTACATCATGTGAATATATGTGTGTGTATGGAAAAATATTATCTAAAATAATACTTATGCTGATATTTTCTATTCTATTTTGTTCTATTCCATTTTTAAAAAATAATGAATGTAACCCATTAAATCAACTTTACTATCCAGTAAGGTGTTGCAATCAACATTTTGCAAAAAATCCTGCATTATAAAATTCTTCCTCTTATAGACAGAAATCTGGCAGCCCAACTTTTAATATAAAATCAACAATATATGTATTGATTTATTTACAAATCAAGAATTCCTTAATTAGAAGGTGGTCTCCTTAAAACTATTTATGAAAGATTATGGGGAAACAAACATGAAAAAGAGGCTTTCTTCTGTCTCTAAATTTGTTGGAGGAGAAATACAAAACTGAATCCCTTTAATAAAATGCTATAGGCAATGAGAGAAATCTACGTGAGGAGCAGAAGGCGAGTCAGGGTGCAGCAGGGAGGAGGGGACTAGTTACTGCTCAGGGGAAGAACCGGGAAACGCTTCACAAGTAAGGTGACTTTAGATGAGGTTTGAAAGACGGCAAGGACATCAGCAGGCAGAGCCCAGGAACAGCAAAGCCACCGTGAGGAGGGCAGGCACGGCCAGGTCCTGCAGGTGGAAACAGCCGCCTGGGGCCGCAGGTGGATCGGCTCGGCTGGGGCTGGCTGAGCGCAAGGAGTGGGCGGGGCTGTAAGCGGAGGGCGGACTACAGAGCTTCAACCGAGCAGATGGCGCCTGCGGGACGATGGAGCGTCTTAGCAAGGGGAGAGTCTGTGATTACGTCACCCAGCAGTAGGCGAGGACTGAAGGGAACAGCAGTCGGAAAAGCTACTGCCGGTTAAGGCAAGACTGCAGATGCTGAACAAATGGCATGCTAAACAAACAAACTAGTTTCACAGGCCAACGCTGTTTATATGTAAAGAGAAGGAAAACCGTTCCTAAACAACCATGTACATCAAACAGAATATACTAATTTTCAAGCACATCAATTGCTTCAAGTGAAAAGTGCACATATGTTTTACCGTTATTTAAGTAGAGTAACGTTTTAGTTTTAAGTTTCTCAGACTCTAGGCACATAAGAGTGTTAAATAAGTGAAATTAATCACTAAGGGATATATATATACTATAGAAAACCTGACTTTCTTAAGTAACTGTCTATTAAAAAAACAAAAATCAAAAAAGTGTCATGTTTAGAATCTGATCTGCAAATTCAGCTTTCTTAAGTGATCTTACACTTGAGTAGACAACAAGTGATTTTTATAATGTTTTAAGTTTTCAAGTCCCTAAACAAGCAGACTCGGTTTAATGACATAGTCACTCCTGATTGAGCTATGTTCTTATAGAATCATAATAGTCCCTGATAAGAAATAACAGAGGACAGTACACATCTTCAAAGCTGTGCATATAGCAGATGGAGAAAAACCTCTCATTTGGATTTTCCCTCCATACAATACCTGGAGAGCACATTCCCAGCAAATAAAAATCTGAATGATTTTGAACTGGTGCCCTCATAATCAGTTACAAAAAAATGTACTTAATAGAATCTTTTTTCTAAAGGTTCCAATAATTATAACCTTAAGGCACAAAAACTGAAAACATAGTCCAGAAATATTCTCTTTCCACATGCTATGGGTTATTAACCCTCACTTTGACAGGTCAGCTTACTCTGTTTTCTTTATGATTGTCTGGCAAATGGGTAAGCCAATTTTCTCACCAAAAGATTTCTACTAAACTCTGAAGTATAGCAAACTGGAAAAAAAATATATTTATATGGCTTTTACTAAATGAAAAATAAAAAGATTTATCAAAAATAAATTTTAAAATATGCTGCTACTAAGTGTGGCACATTTCAACATATAAATGATATTATATCATATTAAGGATACAAAGTAACACAATGTAAATTTCCAAATACTAAGAAGTAGCACATCTGAATGAATACAATGATATATGTCACATTTAAATTAACGAATAATATAAAATCTGTGTAAGAAATGCTATTATGATTATATTTTATTAAAAACATCAGTAATGAATAAGTTTGGGGGCCATTATGAAAAACTTCAGTAATTACTATGACTCATAAAATGAAGGACTAAACTCTGACTTTATTTTTTTCACAAGCTTAACTGTTTCAGACTTTTGTAGCAACATTATGCAGCCATATACAAAAATTAGTAATCCTTTGGCATTTTTCATCTATTTATTTTTACATAAATGCAAAGATTTGACTCATTCTCTCCAAACTGTGATTCATGTAGAGTTCTCTATTATGACAATCAATTAAATATTCATATCAGGAAAAATATCTGTATGCCTGCATTAATATTGGTTATTCACTTAATAGGCATATATAACTTACCCAAAATTGAAAACCACCAACTCATGCATAGAGTACATATGACTTAGATATTAAAAGAGGAACTTTACCTGCTCTCAAGTGTCCAACCACATCTGCAAGGCTACCCTTCTTTACTTTGGTGATGAAGGCACCGAGGCGTCCTAAGTCAGTCATTTTTCCTCCAACAACCTGGATAATTATACATTTGTAAGTTCCCAAGACTCGCACTGAAACATAAGTCTCTTAGTTTGGGGAATTATTCCTATATATTTTGTGATATGTTTAGAATTGAACATAGGAACAAAAATGAAGTGAAATCTGTTTTTGGTTAAAGGAGGCTGCAGCATAGTAGCAACAAGAAAACTTAGCTCATTGCATGTGAGATAATGTGTCCTAAGGAAGTTTATATACTGGTTCATCATACCAACCTCACACTGAAGGGTGTCTAGGATAACGTGACCCTGAGAATACAAGATACTCCCTTTCACCATCAGACAACAGGTGTTTGACACTTTACTAACACTGGAGTTCATTTTCCTTTATCTAAATTCACTTGAATTTCTATAATCAGACCATGCTCCATTGTGGCATGGGAACTTGATCTTTTTCATATATCTTTAGTCTAAGACAAAGACTGGGGATTTAAACCAAGAACAGACCACTTTGGGGAAGCAGTTCACCATGGTGCAGACTAACAGCCTAAGTTTATCACATCTCCTGAACACCTGAATGACCTCCTCATCTGATATACAAAGAGGATCCAATCTGAGTCTCCAAGGCTGAGTTGTATCACTGAATAATTAACATGTTCACCTGAATTTTCCTCAATAACTAAAAGTAAACATATCTGAAAGGTTCTAAGTTTAATCTCTCCCATGCAGGGGCTCAATACATATGATTAAAAATGGAAGGGGTATTGTCAAAAGTTGAAGTTGATCAACAGGGGTGTGCCCAATAGCGGAGGTGATGAGAATTAGTTCACAGCAAGAGAAATTAATGATAATAATCAATAAGGTGACATTAGCTGAAAAAACATTTTTGTTGGATTCATAGGCAATTGTTTTAAAGAGATCAAACTATTACCCAACTATACCATGCAATCACTTGGTAAATAATAATTTTAAAGCAACATTTGTGAATGTTTATGAAAGTAAATAAAACCATGAGACAACATTCTGATTCATGTTACACACAATAAAACAAAATGTATATATATTTTTTCTTGCCAAAATAAAAATATTTATAATTTTTTAGTTTTTTTAATCTGTTAGAAGTCAGTTAATATTGTTAAAGGTACCTCTTACTCTTTAAGTATAAAATCTATTGCACTTAGGAAACAATTCAGTGATCTTTGAGGTTGCTTGTCAAAATATAATAAAATTATGAGGTTCGTATTGTCTAATGTTACTACTTTCCATTAAAACCATTTTAATGTAAAAACAGTCTTTGAATTTTATATTCAGAGGAAAAGTATTTTATTTTTCTACATTTTATTGCAGTTTCCTAACATATCTGTATGCCATTTTAACAAAATGATTTTAAAATACTGCCCAGATAAAGGTACTAAATATACCATAAGCCATCAATATATCAACAAGATATATTTACTAGAAGAAATTTTTTTTTTCCAAAGAGGAGAAGATGATCACTGTCAGAAACTTTGTTGAATGCAGTCACACTTTAACTCATCATTTAAGAAACACTATAAACCAGAGTACTTACTTTCAGACCCAGTAATGCACCTGATTCTTTGGGCATGGTTGTTCTCTTGTTAAGAATAACACGTCCAATTAATCGATCCCCTTCTTTAGAAGGCTGCCACGTTACAGGATGCTATTAAGACATGAACAAAGCTAAGGTGATAAAGCAGCTATTTTCTTTCCTATACACACATAATTACTGGTTGTAGTATGATGCGATTTCCTCAGTTAAGGACACTCTGAGGGGACTCCTTATTCTAGTGGGCTCTATCCTTGGCTTATAACAATTTTCATTTACAGTTGTAATTTTTTCAAAATAGGCATTTACTATACTACATCATTCTAAAAAGTCAGAAACTAAGTACCTCTCCAAAATACAGCTCTGAAGTGAAATGAAATGAAACTGCAAAATATATCTGCTGCCATCATCAAGTTGATTCTGTATTCTGAGGTGTCAGTGATGTTGATATCACTAAGCAAATAGTATCTCATTTACATATAGTCATTACTTAACACTAGCTTTTACTACTTTAAAATTTGTTTAAAGTATTATTCAGTGCTAACTTATTTTTCTTCATAACTGTACTGTCTTAAATGAAATCAGCATTTTCTTTCGTAAGATATACAATGGAGCAGAATAAGGTTACTGTCTATCACATGTCAGCAAAGGATGATGAACGGCCCACATCTTCCCCGAGCTCCCAAAATCTCCCTCCCCGGATGCTCACCGAGCTAATAGGCGATGTTTCTCGGCTATGCCACGTGGCGGGATCCAGCCAGTAATAATCCAAGTCACCTGCACAGTAGGGAGAGAAGGAAAAATGCAATTGCTTTGAAGTGGAGAAGGAATACCTTATGGGCAACTTCCTCAACCTATGAAGGGTTAATAAGTTTCATAATCTCGGGTGTGTGCGCCTCAGATGGTACACATCTGCACTGCAAAGGCTGTGATCTGAAGCCCTGAATGAGTGTGTGTCACAAACGCATATCGTCCTAGGGGAGGGTTATCTTTTCTTCAGCTAGAAACACATAGAGTACAGAAAGAACTAGGTTACCCCACGCACTGCCCCCAAAAGGACTACCCACCCCAAGACACAGACTGTCATGAGTGATACTGGCTAAAATTATATTCACTGCACTGAGATGAGTATTAAAATTTATTGCCCCTTCTTCAACTCCTCTGAACTACATCATGTTTTTCAAAATTATTTTCTAGTCTCTAAAACTGGACACACAGTTTTAGGACATTTCTGAAAAAGTGGTGTGAAAGTTAAAGATCCAAAAAAACTTTTAGCAAAAGAGTACATACAACTGACAGAGTATTCACTTTTACTAAATCATAAAAAAGACTTCAAAAATTCTAACTTTTTAAACATGAATTTATGAACATTTACTTTGGATTTTTTGGCTTAAAAATATAATGTGAAAGAAAGCATTTGAGAAAAAAAGAAGAAGAAAAATCAATGCAAAGCAGCAGGGCTGTAAGTGTCTGCATAGGAAGAAGGTCCAAAGTGGGTAACCATGTGAGAATTAATGACCTTTAACATTTTAAACATCAGATTAAATCAATGAAAATTCTTCTCCCCATGGATGTTGAAAGAGAAAAATACTAAGAGAGTGAGTAAAGCATGCTAGTTAACAGTGAGATGTCTAGCTCACTGTTAAGAAAATGTTTGGATGCTGCCTGTGAAGGTCATAAATACAGAATTTTATGTAGATGACAGACACGACAAACATAATAAGCATGATAAAAGAAATGACAGAAACAGAAAAAAACAAGTTTAAAATGTGTAGGCACAAAAGTTGCATGCATTTCAGTTTTTTAGTAGCTGCCTCTTTTCCTTTTACATAATGTCTTAGGAAAGTGGAAGAGTGTTATACATACTATAAAAAACACTTAATGTTTTTCAAATACGGCATGTAGATAACTAGCAATATATTCTATGAAGCCATATTCTGTTAAAATTTACTCCACGTGGAGTCCATATCCCTCCCCAAATCACAAACGTTAAAATCTGTACATGAATTTGTGACTATAAATCTTGAATACTCTTCTGGATGGTCTTAGTGAATAGAATATAAGGAAAGCTGTTAAAGAAAGTTTTTTTCCTCCTTTATTTTTACTGTTTGTGAAACTTCATATATTAAAGTTTAAATATATTTCACTAAAGCTGTTTTGTCTTTAATATTATGACACCATTCCTCTTGAAAGAAAATCTACAATAAAAATAAAATTAAAATGATTACTAAGCAGTAACTTCAAATAATCAAAAGATTATTTCAATTCATAAAGCTTTCTCCCCAAAATTTCACATACCAAGTAATAAGGCTGATGACTTCTCAAATGCTGATTCACTCTGAAATCCTGTGACAAATTAATAGACTTACTGAGATATGCTTGGGGCTTAAAGAAAAAATAGTCATTAAGTTGGAAGCTACTTTGAGAAGTCTTTAAGGATAAAGAAATGACAAAAATCCTCCCTATTTTAAAGGCTTCAGGGAAACAGTTCATTGCATCCTTCAGGAATCAATGTAGATCTTAGAAAATAGAATCCTTGGGTCCTTCTCTGGCTTGTCCTCCAAATCCTTGTACAGACTTAAACACTGTTTCACTCACCTTTTCCTAAGCAAATCTGGATATTTCTATCTGGAGAATGTCCGTTGTGCAAAAAGGACTCCTTATATGCAAAGAGTCAAAAGCTAATGTTTCTGCTTTAAGTCAGTAATGACAGTGAGTACACTTTATTATGAAAAGACTGCTTTCAGACAATGGTTTTATATCAGGTATAAACTGTGTAGGGAAATGATCGTGAATAAAGAGTCTAATTTAATTGGCTTAACCTCAGATACGCAGATGACACGACCCTTATGGCAGAAAGCGAAGAAGAACTAAGGAACCTCTTGATGAAAGTGAAAGAGGAGAGGGGAAAAGTTGGCTTAAAACTCAACATTCAGAAAACTAAGATCATGATATCTGGTCCCATCACTTCATGGCAAATACATGGGGAAACAATGGAAACAGTGAGAGTTTTTAATTTTAGGGGCCCCAAAATCACTGCAGATGGTGACTGCAGCCATGAAATTAAGACACTTGCTCCTTGGAAGAAAAGTTATGTCCGACCCAAACAGCATATTAAAAAGCAGAGACGTTACTTTGCCGACAAAGGTCCATCTAGTCAAAGCTATGGTTTTTCTAGTAGTCTGTGAAGAAAGCTGAGCACTGAAGAATAGATGCTTTTGAATTATCATGTGGTATTGGAGAAAACTCTTGAGAGTCCCGTGGACTCCAAGGAGACCCAACCAGTCAATCCTAAAGAAAATCAATCCTGAATATTCATCGTAAGGACTGATGCTGAAGCTGAAACTCCAATACTTTGGTCACCTGATGCAAAGAATTGACTCATTTGAAAAGACCCTGATGCTTGGAAAGATTGAAGGTGGGAGGGAAAGGGGACGACAGAGGATGAGATGGTTGCACGGCATCACCGACTGGATGTACATGAATTTGAGTAAGCTCTGGGAGTTGGCGATGGACAGGGAAGCCTGGCATACTGAGGTCCATGGGGTCACAAAGAATCAGACCTGACTGAGCGACTAAACTGAACTGAACTGGAACACATGCATGTATGTACATATGTATGTATATATGTTTTTCCATGGCCATTCAGGTGTGCGGCCAGCACATTAATGCTCATTTGGATGGAATAGATTTTGCAGCTTTGGAAACTCTGCTTTTCAATTCTGGCAAGTGACTAAAAATGACTAATAAACATAAATCTAAAAAACACATTAAGTACTGCAGTATACACTAATAGTTGCATATATTTTAGTACATGAATATACTTCCCTCACATTCCGAAAGTTTTAACAGCTTTCTTAGCATGAATTTCATCATCACACATTAAAATACCACTGTTTGCTTAAACATGTATAAAAAATACATTCTAAAATCTAAATATGCAGTTTTAAACTATATGTGCTTCATCTTTCCATGCATTATGAAGCTGTAAATGTATCATTGACTTTTAAGTACTCTAATTTGTCTTTATAAGACATTTTTCTATTATTAATAGAAGTGACACTCAACAAAACTCCCTCCTAAAATATTCAGACTAGAATTTCATTAATATAAAACATTTTTCTTAATTAAATTTCCTAATAGGTGATTAAAGATATTGACTGACAGTGGTATAATTATAAAATTATAAATTCATGGCATTTGCTTATGGAATTGACACAAAAGCATCCTGCTTTTAATGTTCAATGTAAATGTAGAGGAGTAAATTTAGTACTATCACTGATTTAGATCCAGGAAATAGATGCTTCAGTCTACTGAAATGGCTGAAGTTCATAAATATCCATGTTCAAAAAAGTATTATAATTTGATTAATTTTTGTGAAAACATTAAAGACAGCGTTTTATCCTGTCCCTTGTTGAAAAAGCAGGTTAATTAAACTTCATAAGTAAGCCCAAAGCTTTCACTGCACACACAAAAAGTCAGCTAGTGACTGCAAGGAGATCAAACCAGTCAATCCTAAAAGATATTGTTCCTGAATATTCATTGGAAGGACTTATGCTGATGCTGAAGCTGAAGCTCCAATACTTTGGCCACCTAATGCGAAGAACTGACTCATTAGAAAAGACCCTGATGCTGGGAACGATTGAAGGCAGGAGGAGAAGGGGATGACAGAGGATGAGATGGTTGGTTGGTGTCACCGACTTGATGGACATGAGTTTGAGCAAGCTCTGAGAATTGGCGATGGACAGGGAAGCCTGGCATGCTGCATTACGTGGACTTGCAAAGAGTCAGAACATGAACTGAGTGTCTGCCAGCAGTGCGGGAGACCTGGGTTCAAACCCTGCGTTGGGAAGATCCTCTGGAAGAGGGCGTGACGACCGACTCCAATATTCTTGCCTGGAGAATCCGCATGGACAGAGGAGCCTGGCTGGCTACAGTCCATGGGGCCACACAGAGTTGGACACGACTGAGCGATTAAGCACAGCACAGCACAGCGACATAAGAGCTTTCGGAAAAAAGATCTTGCTTTTCCTAAACCTAGCTTATTATGGCAAGAGTATCTAACAGTGCAAAAACATATATTTCTATGATTTAAATGTTTGCATCTTGTGATAGCTAATGTCAAAGCATAAGAGATTTCAATAAGACCAATCAAAGGCAATGAACAAAAACACTTTCTAAACAACACATATGCATGGTTGCATGTATATGGATATACTAAAACTGTAAGGAGAAAATCATAAATTACTTCACACATTAAATATCTATTTAAAAACTCATATAACAAACATACTTGGCCGAGTTGAAGATCTAACTAATGTTCAAGTAGTAAAGGAAAGAGTATCAATATCAAACCCCTGAAGCAATAGAAAATGTGGACTTCTCCATCACAAGACATAGATAGTGTATTTTTTAACATCATTATAATGGATGATAATAAAAGATGGGACTAAATCAATTACAAGATAGACTCACATTAAGTCTGAACAATACATATCCATAATTTTGCTACTTGTCCTCTCAAAGTAAATGGATTGCTCTTCCTACATAGAACAGATTGTACCATTCAAAACAATTATAAAAATCATGGGCCAAAATCAGAACAATTCTTCCCAGAGGTTTCATATACTTCTCTAAATTTTTCCTCTTTTTTCTTTACACTCTATGGCAGGGTATGTATGGAGACTCAATGAAACTATTAACAGAAGAATCCTAATGTACTTCATTATAGCACAGCAGTAGACAAATTAAATTATGGGCTAAAAACACATTTATTA